TAAATGGGGAAGGTAGAGTCTACCATCAATCTAGCTAGCCACATCCAGCATGGAATTCCTCCCTCTAGTCCCCAGGCCAATTGGCAGAACCAGGTCTTTAGGCTCTTGCAGAACCCCAAGATGGTACATTTTACCATTTTACATAATCTCAAGATGCACATTTGAATTTTTGTGCATTATTGGGTTGGGTGCACATTTTGCTACATATTGTTTTGATACTGGTCTGTCATTCCTTCCTTCCTTGTGTTATAGATGGTGGAAGCCATCAGCTGATCTCCTAATTTTGCTGAGGCAAATTTAATGTGACTTATGTATTCTACTAACTCAAATACTTTGGCCACCTTATAAGGAGAAGAGCCTAATACTAGGAACGGATGAGGGCAAAAGAACAGGGATGGCAGAGAATGAAGTGGCTGGATGGGAGTCACTGAAGCAGTTGGCGTGAGCTTAAATGGACTCTAGGGGATGGTAGAGGACAGGAAGATCTGGAGGAACGTTGTCCATGGGATTGCAATGGGTCGGACATGACTTCGCGACTAACAACATGTTCTACTAAAGTGATCTATATTTCATTTACATTGATCAGTGGTGGTATGCTACTGGTTTGGACGAGCTGGTAGTAAAAAAACTACTGGTACGGCCGAACCGGTTTCTCTGATGATCAGCTGAAAGGATAAAAGAAGTGACAAGTGCATGGGTGGGTGGAAGGATTGCTCTGAGCTTTTCGTTTCTTCATCCTGTCAGCTGATTGGAACATTAGGGCCTGTGCACATGTACATTAGGGGCACCCACCGAACTGGTAATGATCAAGATCTACCCACTACTACATAAAATACCTTTCAGGTAAATCTCTAAAATATCCATAAAGCTGAATTCCATAGCACACCATGGAGCCCTTTTTTTCTTTCAACCTAGTGGAATGCTGGAAAGAAATGATGTAGAGAAAATTGTGTGACTTGACTGTTGATTAGCTAACTTTCCAAAAACATAGAACAAAATGGAAACAAAAGTGGTATGATGGGAGAAGTTAGCAAAACAAAAGCTAAATTAAAAAATGAGACTTGGAATTATAGAGAAAAACACAGGCAGGGACTCGGAAAGTTACTGACTGTTCCAGTCTAAGCTTACCTACCTCACCAAATCCTGGTGATGTGACTCCCAGTGAGGGATTTCAGCTTGCCTTTTGCTTCCAAGTGCTCATACATAGACCAATATATCAGATACATCACAAGGGGAAAGCAGAAACACACAAACACACACACACACACACACTTATTAAACATAACATTGCTAGGCAAAAGTTAAAAAAAGAATTTCATAATGTTTTTTGTGTTTTCCCCACCTTGTTGAATTTTTACAGAATGTTGATCCATAGAGAGATTTCTGTGAAAATCAATTGCATCCTACCACTTATAAGTGAAACAAAATCAGATTAGAATGTGTAAAATTCTAGTGTAAAATTGAACATGGGATTAAGATTGGAAATTTTGCCGCTCAACTATTGATAGGTGTTATTATCAATCTGTAAGCTGAAATTTAAATAAAAACAAGTTTGTCATTGATAGTCATATTAGAATTTGAAATATTTTTAAATTGGAGGGGATGAGTGGGACCTTTATGAGTTCATATGAAGAAAAGGCTTGAATGTGGATTTTATACGTACAACCAGTTTGTCCTTTTGCACCTGTTGAAATATTATACATTTGCCGTGATGGTACAGTGGTGAGAATGCAGTATTGCAGGCAAGTTCTGCCCACAGCCAGTAGCTTGAATCTGACCAATTCAAGGTTGACTCAGCCTTCCATCCTTCTGAGGTTGATAAAATGAGGACCCAGATTGTTGGGAGCAATATGCTGACATTTGTAAACAGCCAAGAAAGTGCTTTAAAGCAGGGGTTGCCAACCTTTTGGATCCCAGGGACCACCAAATTTATACTTTTAAATCCCCAGGACCACTAATATGTTTTTTAAAAAGCTAATATATTTAATATTAAAAATGTTTGTATTAAATATAAATTTAGTTTATATTCCAAGCTCCAAGGGCTTCTCAGCAGGCATCTGCCTACAGAAGGACTCCTGCCCTTGGTGATTAATTGGGGGAAGGGAGGGGGAGAAAGTGGGCACTCCTTTCAGATGCCAGGTGGAGGATTGAGAGAGTTCAGATCTGCAGCCAAGGAAACATTGGGGGGGGGGGCCCTTCCAGCCTCACCTGGGGACCGGCCAGGGAAGGGGTCCCCGGGGGCCCCTTGGCCGCCTTTGCCTTTCGCTGCCAAACCCAGCCACAGCGAGGGATTATTGGGGGGGGGGGGGGGGGAGAGAGAGAGAGAGAAAAAGCATCTCTCGCATTACCAGGGGAAGAAAGGTGAAACAAAACTCACTCTTTCACCAAGACCTACAAAACACCAATCTACTGTGTTCCAGTTCTTCAAAACCACCAAACACTCTCACTTGCAGTTCCCGCGCCTCCCGGCTCAGTCCCTGATGCACGCTTCCACACACTTGTTGGTGGCAACAACAGTCCCCTCCCCCAGCGCCCACCATCAGCTCTCTCCATTAGTTCTCTACCTTTGAATGGCTCCCGGCTCTCTTTCTTTCCTTCCCCCTGCCCACGCCCACATGCAGGCAGGCAAGGAAAGGGAGACAGAGCCGTGCGCAGCTCTCAGCTCTTCCAGCTCTTGCTGCCTCTCCCCCAACATCGAATCCTCAGAGACACAGGCAAAGCCACCACAGCGGTAGCGCCCTGAGTTGTTTGCTTCTCCACTACTGCTTCTTCTTCCGCCAGCATCACCTCTCTGGGTAGGGCAATTCTTAACTAACCAAGCATGCTAAGACAACTTGGGATGCTACCGTTGTGGCGGCTTTGCCTGCATCTCCAAGGCTTCGATGTTGGGAGAGGCAGCGAGGGCTAGAAGAGCTGAGAGCTGCACACGTCTCCATCTCCCTTGTCTGCCTGCATGTGGGCACGGGGGGGGGGGGGGGGAGGGGGAAAGAAAGAGAGGCAGGAGCAATTCAAAGTTAGAGAACTAATGGGGAGAGCTAACAGTGGGCACTGCAGTGGGATTGTTGCCACCGCCACTGCCGTGTGTGGGAGCTGGTTGGCGCGTGCATCACAGGGACCTGACTCCGGGGTCCCTTGAAGAGCTGGGAGGTGCAAGAATTACACAGCCCAGATTAATTGCTTTGGGGGGGGGGCATTTCTTCTGCGGCTCACCAAAATTCTTCCAAGGCCCACCGGTTGGCGACCGCTGCTTTAAAGGACTATGGAGTAGTATATAAGTCTATTGGCAGTTTGCATTAAGAACCTCTTCCAATGTATCAAAATATTGGTACTGATTGCAACTGCACATTGTTTCATGTGATCACATGGCCACCACCACACACACACACACCACACACACATTTCAGTGAGTGGCAAAGGCTATCACTCATTCTCAAAAGAAACTAAAGGAGGAATGGATAAGACGATAGCCTGATCTGAATCAGCTATCTGTCCCATACTAACTGAAATAATAGGAAAAAGTAACACAACTCTTAAATGGGGGTCTATTAGCAAATTCAGTTGTAAGCAGGCTTCTCCCATCATGGTTCATATTAGGAGAAAAAGCCCTTTACTGTGCACATGCAGACATTTATTTGCTATCTATTTATGGTCCTGCTGAGAGGTGTTTCTATCAGTTCTGTCCATCTCTGTAGAACCAGTAGCTCTGAAGAGCAGCAGACAAAGAACTGGTTCTATGTCTGCTGATGTTTTTGCTCACCCACCCTCCCGGGCTCTTACCTGATCTTTATTTCCTGATTTTTCAACTTCAGCTGCCAAATGAGGCACAGCTGCAGTTAAAAAAACAAGAAAAGAGGGCTGTTTCAAAGGCTGCTTCTCGGCAGGCAGCGTGCTAATGACGATTTATAACGATTTATAATGATTTATAGGCACGCGGCTCACAGCGGGCAGGGAAGCTTGTAAATCCCGAACCGGTAGTTAACCCTTTCGTATCCCACCCCTGGTTCTGCTGTATTAAATTAAGGGTTCATCCACTGCAGCATTCAGTTTCTGACTAGGAGTAGTCGGACTTCTCTTAAGAAATTCATACTGTATAAAGGTTTCTAGCTTTCAGAATCAGATCAAGGCTGAATTATAATATCTCTTTCTAGATACAATAATTAATTGAACTATGCTATCACCTCATCTTCCAATACTGATTCCTATGTGCGTATTACAGCTTGTATTATATGAAACAGGACTTTGCACTTGAGTAGTTTTGCATAGGGTCTTAGGAGTTATAGCTGCCACTTCTTTCTCAAAAACAATGAGTTTAAATGACTCATGTATATGTACGGTTTACCCTATTCATTCTGATCACAAGCTGTAGAAGTAGAAGTGATTCTTAGATGGATCTGCCTTTCCAATGAAGTAACACACTACTTCATATGTTAAGCTCCAATAGCACTCTGAAAAATAACATCTTTAAACTATGGTCTTTTGGATTTCTATCCACAGGAGTGACAGTTTTTCAAATTACAGTTGTATAAAATGTTAAAACCATCACATTGTAGTTGTTTCTACATTTGTATAAACTTTACTATGTAAAACAACTATTTTTATTGTACTCCAACATTTAAAGGTAAGAACAATTTTAGTTCTTCATAGTGCTAAATGAAAGTGCTGGAAAATTCAATATTAAATTTGATTTCTGAAACCCCTTTTTATTTTGAAGACATGTTGCATCCCTGTTTAGTACACCTACCTAGTTTTGTAGTGATTTTCTTTCAAAAATACTATTACTGTGTATTCTCGTAACAGAAAAACCTTCCTGAAAAGCTGAAAACTTTTATTCTTGCCGTAACTACAATAAAATTGAAATCACAGTCTCATTGTACCAGAAATAAATATGAAAAGAATTCAAAGTATCCTAAAAATCATTAGGAGAAACTTTAAAAAGTTCACATTCCATTAGGAAATGTTACATGATAAACCAGTTAGAGAATGATCTAAAGCAAAACTAAAGAAGGATATATAGAATATTTTACTTTAGTCAAATGCTCAGCATTAAAAAAAAAACATGGTTCTGGATTCAGCACCCCCAGATTATTTCATTCCCCCAAATTCCAGGTCAAAATAATTAGGCTAATTCTGTCTGTGCACTGGTATGCAGCATTCAGCAACTATATTATAAAATACAAACACACAGAAATAACACTTCCTTGCTTTCTTGTGCTCCTTTTTTGATCAAGTAAAACACGTTCTTTGGTTATTAATTTTTTTAAATGGAAATGCTGAGCAGTCATTATTGTAACGGGTGAGAATCTACATTTTCCCAGCTATTGAGATATTACACTGAGCAGGATCCTGCCTTATAATCAGATTTTCAACCCGAGAAGGAAAGTTCCTGCTGCATCTCCTTTTTATACCAGTGCTAAGTCTGGAAAAAAACAAGTTGATAATGATTGGTATACAGTAAAATGTGCTCCTTCTATGGAGTCAAGTCTGGTTCTCATGTAGTGAAAATAATATAGTAATATCAATGGTAAAAACCACATTTAACTACTGGGATTAGGAGAATAGATTTTGCCAATTCTGATTTTTAAAAATCCCAGTTGCCCCAAATATAATATAGTTCTGTATACAGCATTTCAAATATACTTCAATATGCTGGTCATAAGACAACACAATTTTAAAGGAAATATTTGCATGGAAAATGTTGCATTTCAAATGTATTCATAATGACTCTTTTTACAGTTTTGGTAAATTATTATAAGAAAAGAAAAGGTTTTTTCCCTCCCTTTTTTCAAAGACAGAAAGAATATACAATACATATACAGGTTGACAATCTGATTAAGCTAAAGCAATCTTCACTTAGCTCAGTTCCTAGAGTTCTTTAGGCTATAATACCAATCAAAACAAAAAGTTTTTCACGAATGAAACAATAAATCAAAGAACCAAGAACTATGCTTATTTAGAACATCCATCTCTATTTCTATATATACATACACACATAAGTTTATAACTTTCCATGAAAATCAACCTATATTCTATTGAACAAAAAAGTAATTGTAAAAAGTTTGCTAATTTAACAAAATGGGAAAGAAATGGCTGCTATCAAAATATACAATTTGAATTGCAGGCTAAAAGGCGTATGTTATTAAAAAATAGTTTTAAGCAAAATCCCTTGCTTGTTATAGAGAAGAACTGTTGGCCTTTCATTGTAACGTGGTGATCCAACAATGTTTTATAAAAGGTTGAATTATGACTTCTTCTTTATCTGTAATAATGTTCTTCACAAATGCTGACAGGATTTTTTTTTCCTTTCTGGATCACAATAGTTTTCAAAATGAAATGGCAGTCTAGAATTCAGAATCTCAAGTGGGATTTATGCTTGACCATATACCTGCAACATAAAGGGGAGAGAACCCATATTACCAGAGCTGCTACCTACATAAATTTGCAAATTAAGGCATGAATTCTTAAAAGGTAAAAATGATATATACAATTCAAAATACAACAATTCAATTAAAAAGGTAAAATCAAGGAAGTATATATCCATTTGTGAGAGGGAAGAAGAATTATAATTACATTTAGGTATCATCCATCCTAAAAACCAGTTTAGCATAGTGGCTAAGGTCAATTTGGCTAGAAGCCAAAAGAGCATAAGTTCTAATATAACTTCCATTCTTAGATATAGTTGGGTGACCTAGTACCAGTCACTTTCTCTAAGAAAACAAGGAAACCGCTTCTGAAAAACCTTGCCCAGAAAATTGCAGGGACTCATCCAAGCAGTCTCTAAGAATCAGACACAATTGAAGAGAAGAAAAAAGAATCATTCTACTTGCTTCTTAGCATATTGTTTAGAAATGCTTTGTTGAACTTTCTACAACAGAAGACTTTTATTTCCAAACAAATTTATTATCGATTTCCATGTAACTGCATAACTTCTATTATTTTTACCGGTGGTTTGAAAACAATGATAAAGAGGGCAGATAAGATGAACTGGAGTAGTAGTTTAATAGATCTATTTATTTAATAATATTTGTACAGTTTTTCATCCAAAAATCTCAAAGCGACTATTAAACTAGAGGTCAATTGTAATTCTTCAATCAAAAATCTTAAAGTGGTTAATAAACTAAAGTTCAACCACAATTACCGAGCACAAAAACAATGTTTCCATTTTTCACTTAAATGAAATTACACATGGGTCTCTAGTTAGGGACATCAAAAAACAGTATTCTAAAATAGAAAATTCAACTTACACCTTTCTGAAACCAATCTTAATGGCTAAACAAATTCATTAAAGAAGAGATACTGATAGGCTGGGACTCTGTGGACTAAAATTATTTTTGGAAAGGGACGGGGAGCTAGTATTGTTTTCCAAAACTAGTGAAACTTAGATAACATAGACTGCTAAGTGTAAGTGTATATTTATTTTTAATATGAAAATTTGTATATTAAGGGAAAAAAAACCTAGCAGAGTTTTGTATATAGAGTATATTTGGGATCTGGTATATGATGGAGATGAATTTTTTTTTCCAGATCCACTATTTTTAAAAATAGTAACTCAATGTAATGCATGTGAAACTAACCTGATAAAGCATACAGCATCCTAAAGCAGTCCTTATGCTATACTAGTTTATTTATGAAATGTATACACATATAGTGAATAAATTCATAACAGGTATTGCAAATAACATAAAAACAAGAACAAAAACATTTAAAGTGGAGTATTAGAAGTTATAAAATATTCAAAAATATTGACATTTATTTCTTTATTACATTGGTACATCACCCATCTCGCTCTGCAAAATGACTCTGGGAGGTTAATATACTGTATTACATTAAATATATAATAATTTATATAATTTAAATTTATATCAGATTCCAAAATCCAATATGTCATTTTTATTTTATAAATGTATAAAGTCACCTGACTCCATTATGAATCTGGGTTGCAATAAAACACAGTTTTTGTACAAAATATATAGTTTATAAAGATTTTTTTTATCTGTACAGTGATTCCTGATCTTTAGATAACAATACAGTTGTAGCTTTCCCTTTCAGATGGATATTTACCTGTCCAATGTTTCCCAGAATCGCAGGAACACTGGTCTGTCCAAGTGCCGTTTATGATAACTGAGTTCTAAAAGTGTTACATCCCATTTCTGGACATTTGGATCTAGACGAACCTCATCATACTTAAGATGAAAGGCTTTAACTATATAAAATGAGAGAGAAGGCAGAAAAATGAACCAATAATTTCCCAAACCCAAATACATTTTGAAGAATTATGACAGAGAAAATAGAACCTAGGGGAAAGAATATTGTCTAAGCTACTGCTATGGGAGACTGTTCTGATGTCATTTGAGAATGCAACAAGATTTGAATAGAAGTTCCATTTATGTAACAAGGAAATTTCTGACTATCTCAATGTCTGTGAGGGTAGAAGCATTCTCACTTCCATTTCACTTGAATCTAGATGTTCATTACAGCCCACAGAGGAATAGCTTTTCACACAAATGAATTGTTCCAAAGGCCAGCATTATACAAAGAGTGCCACAGGGGAATAAGACTGGAGATATGCAACATACCTTAAGCTTACTGGTCAAGCCATTCATTTCTGACGAGAAATTAATTAAATTTGTCTCTACAGATTAAAAATAAAACAAAAGGCCCTTCCAAGGATTTCAACTCTTTTGTGAAATAGTCCCAACTCCAATTCCTACATCTGGGTTTTTAGAATTCTCTGTTTGCTTCTTACAGGATTATTAGTGGGGCTTATTTTTATTTCATCTTTTCATAAAGCAGTATTCCTTTGTTTTTTGGACTGTCTTTTATCATGGAATTTGTTACAGACAGTTGAGATTCTTACCTAAAGTAGAAGTTACCTAACATCACTTGCCCAATTGGGGACAACATTTTAGTTAATCAAATTCTGAACTGTTTTATTAACTGAATAATATTAACCGAATAATTAACTGATGACTCAAACATAATCAGAGGTTGTGTGCCTCTGCTGCTTCCAAACATATTCCTTCCTCTATACCCTTTAGATTTATGTTAAAAGTCAAAATATTATTTAATATTAAATCCTATAGAAAACCATCCCCAAAAAGTATCATGTAATTTCTTCAGTTTCATTAATTATCAATTACACGATCAATTCCTTTGTTTCCCTTGGTAGTTTAGCAACTAAGAGCAGGAGGAACAAGGATGAAGTCTACCCTCAGCTATGCAAATTTATTAACTGACTTTGAGCTCTCAGCTCAACATGTGTCATAGGATTGTTTTGATGAAAATTTGGGGATACATACTATGAATGCAACCTTGAGCATCTGGCAGGATAAAAATCTAAGGGAAAAAAACCTAACACTAATATACATCAACAGTATATAGACTCCTAATTTACATGGCTACATTTCACATTCTTATATAACCAATGAAGAACTGATGGTACAGAAAGCAGCAATGTCGATCAGGAAACATATGAATAATATTTGAATACTATGGTTATAATCCAAAGGTGGAGGAAAAAATAGCCAAAGATTGCCAGCTTCCTCCTTCCAATAATGGGAATGTTCTAAGTAGTATTGCGCTTAGAAAGCTCCCACAATTGATATTCAAACACTGGTTCCAATCCACATTTGTAAGATGGATCCTACCCACATGGAAAAATGTATTAAATGGCAAGACTCCCTAGAGTGTATTACCTGTGAATTGGATATTCAAATCATCAAGATAAAATATTTGATTATATATAGTGTACGTGTGTATACATACACACACACACACATACACACCTAAGAGCATAACATCTGGTAGCAAATATAGGAAAAGTGGTATATCAACGTTATATATTAAGAATATTCTTAGCATTTTTTTAAAAAGAAGTTTAATCTCATATTCTAGACACCAATTTTCCTTTAGAAAGGAAGTACATTAAATATACTTAAAGTATATTACCTATATCTAAACTAAGAAAGTATGCACCTAACAAATAAATTTATGAATATCAAACTGATATTCTCAGTAGGGAAAGTTTTGTGAATAAGAATCTGTCCACAAAAAGTGATCTTCAAGTTCAATAGGCTTGCATTAACATGTGATTGTGACTAGACCTTTAAAATGGCATTCAAATAAAACATTTATGTTGGTTAAAATGCCAAAATATAAAAGTTTCCACTCCAAATATTAACTTCCTCATAAACATCTGTGAACTGATGAGATAAAGTAAATTATTTTTATAGGAGCACACAATGCAGTCCACAAATAGAAGGATTAAAGATCAAACTTTGCAGACCTATGGCCTAGGATAAGATTTTGGCAAGCATAAAAGCTGATGTGAGATACTGCAGATGAAATCTAATGAAAGAGTTGTACAATACATTTAGACTTCTTGCATCTCTCTGTAATCCTTGTGAAGTTAAAAGACTTTAAGAGCATATTTTCACAGTTAAGAATTTATAATTTATGTTTAAATCATGTTTCCTGGGGCAAATAGAAGATTTTACAGAGAACTAAGAAAGCTGTTGGGATTCAGGATGCCCTTTGATACTGTAATTGAGTTTAAAATGACCCTGAAGAATAAAGCAGAAGGCAGGTCACAAGGTAGAGACTGGCATTTTGTGAACAAATATGAACAAAATCTATTATAATTAAGAAGAATGTCAACTGTTGGGTTAAAAAACATAGATTAGTTATTGACAGAAAACCTGAATACAGCCTCAAGGTTAGATTTGATAATTTTTTCATCACTGATATAGAGTAGGGGTTCTTCATGATTGCACATGCACCTTTTCTATCTACTGTATAATTCTTTGGCCATCTACTGTTGGGGTTCTTCTGTTTGTCTCTTTTAGGTATTTCATTGAAGAAATTTTGTTTCAGATCTCCATTGCTTTGGTTCATCTTTCAGGGGATTGCTTTTTTCAATGATTGCTGCTTCTTCTTTTTCTTATTTTTTAAAGATGCCAGTCTACAATAAATTTTGTAATTTAATATAGGTAAACATGCTTTAAAACCCTGTTAGTCTTCATATTAGAAAGAAGCTGTTTACCTTTGCTAACATTTGATTTCATTTTTGAAGGTCAAGAGCTACACATTTCTAGCAGCAAGAATTGGTTTGGAGATAATATTTACATTATTATTATTTCAACCTTCTCTGTCTTCCTGTTTTCTAAGGATGACTACTTGCTTTATGGTAACACAATGGGAAGACGTCACAGAGATCAATTACATCTTGGTTCTTTTTCAGTTCTTAACCTGACTTCTCAATTCTCAATCTGACTGGTTCTATTGTATTCAATAGCTAGGTTAAAATTTAGGGTCAGCCATAGACGCTTCCCAGATGGCTCTTGGCCAGTTAGTCTCTCTGAGCCCAATTTACCTCACAGTATTTTTTTTAAAGGAGTGTTATGTATATTTCCTTGTACTCATAGAAGAAAAATATAATATAAACACAATAAAAAAATTAATAGAAGCTGGACAGCAAGCTGGGTTTGCTAACTAACTGAATCTTTAATGAGACCACAACAGCTTTGATAGTGCCACCAGACTTTAAGATCAAGACATAACAAAGATAATTTATGAATGAATACAGTGCATAAAATACATCTAAGTAAAACCTTACTTTTTGCAAAAATATCAACAGGTGATCCATCAGGTAGTAACCATGGCCAGCCCTTGAATTGCCAGGCAGGACCTTGGACAAACACAGCCACAACACGATCCCTAAAATATACATATAAAAAGAGAGAGAAACACTCAGATTTCAGTCACAAAAAGTTCAATAATGGATTAAGAGCTCTCAATTAGCTGAGAATGACCACAGTGACCACAGGGGTGCTGTGATGGTTATATATGTTAGGACTGATTGCAAATGACCTTTCCGCACCATCGTAACTTTGAACAAATTATGCATGTAAGGAGGTAGCAGATGGCTCTGTATCAAAAGTAAAATATTCAGGATAATGACTAAAAATACATTATTTATAACTATATTGATTTTAGATTTGGTTGAGAAAAGCAATACCAATTGCAACAAAACACTCTCTCTTACCAATCTTGAGGCATGAGTTTAAGAGGCTGATCAACTACACGATATGGCACTGTAACACTGACTGTAGTTCCACCAGGCTGCATTTGGTCTTTCCTTCTTTGTATTAAAGTTTCATTCTCTCGCTGACAGCCTTGCTTTTTCTTTTCATCAGATGGTACAAACCTTAAAAGTAGAGGTGGTGAAAGAATTAATACTGTAGACTGGTACTGACTTTATATAGTCAAAGTAAAAATAAGCGAGTATCTACTATGGAAACAATTCAGGAGGTGTATTGTACTGGACTATAAAAATGACTTTCTGATTTCTTTTTTAAATATTCCTTGATCAGTATTGAACAAATCAAGTAACATCATTTCAATTATCTACAAGTAGATATGTTAAGTCTCCTGGAGCATAAACGATGAAGAAACTAAACAGATAGTCTTCAATTTGTGACCATTCGTTTAGTAACTATTCAAAGTTACAACAGTACTCAAAAAAAAACCTGGCTTACAACTGGTCCTCGCACTTACAGCCATACAGCCATAGAGTATCTCCATGGTTCCATGATCATAATTTGGATTCTTGGCAATGGGTATGTATTTATGATGGTTGCAGGGTCCCAAGATCATGTGATTGCCATTTGCAGCCTTCCTAGCCACCTTCTGACAAGCCAGATTTGCACAACACTAGGATGATTTACCTAACAATTGCAGTGATTCACTTAACAATTGTGGCACAAAAGTTTATAAAACCAGGTGCAATTCACTTAATAATCACCTTGCTTAGCAATGGAAATTCCCAATTGTGCTTTTTAAATTGAGGACTACCTTTATTGTAGACTAATTTTATCAAGCTAAATCTGGATGCTAATAAGACTTGGTTTACATGTACATCTATCATGCAAATTTTAAACCCGAATTGTTTCTATTAGGTATAATATCAGAAAAACTTCATAAGAAATTTTTCGCACTATAAGATGCGGTCCCCCTAAAAAAGTGGGTGGAAATGTCTGTGTGCCATATAAAGCAAATGTTGTCAAAGCCTCACCCACCCACTGGCCACCATCCTTCAGCCTCTGCCTCCCAGAAATTTGCTTCCTTGCAGTAAACAGCCTGGTCAGCTTCAACATAGCCTGCTTTAGCACGAGCAGCTGATTGGTGATTTCCATGCATCCTATTTTCGGCCTCCGTATGTCCCATTTTCAGCCCATTCCAAGTGACAACGGTTGCTGCCAGATTGCCACTGCCAGGAATTAGCCAAAAAAGGGGTACACGGAGGCCGAAAACAGGACACACGGAGAGGCCATGCAGAGGCCAAAAACAGGGCACACGGAGGCAGCAATAGGAAGCAGTGGCAATCCCTGCAGCCCGGAACAGCTGATTGGCTGATCCAATCGCCAATCAGCTGCTCATGCTAAATCAGTCTGTTCTGAAGCTGACCAGGCTGTTTGCTGCAAAGAGGCAAATTGTTCGGAGGCAGAGGCAGATTTTTTTGGGTTTTTGTTCTCTTCCCAAAAAGCTAGGTCCGTCTTATAGTCTGGAGCATGTTATAGTGCAAAAAATACAGTATGTATTTAATATAAACAGCAGCGACGATTATTTTCACACAATATTGGAAAAATGAAGATATACCACGAGATGAATAGTCAAAAAGATACTAGATTATGCAGAAATGGATTGACATTGAAAATTAAACAGAAAGAGGATGCAGAATATTATCAAACATGGAATTTATTTTACCAATGGTTGGAAAAAAGGGGTGGAGACTAAGAATATAATTTGTATTGTTAAGAAAAAGACATACCCAGACAACACAATGTTTATTACTAAGAAATGTTTTTATTTATTTATTTTAATTTGTCAATCACTTACAAGATAATAGGTATAAGTATATACATAGTTATGAATACATGAAATGGGTACATATAAGAAAAATAAAACACAATAGGACAGGGACGGTAGGCACGTTGGTGTGCTTATGTACACCCCCTACAGACCTCTTAGGAAAGGGGTGAGGTCAATAGTAGACAGTCTAAGGTTAAAGTTTTTGGGGTTTGGGGAAGAAACCACAGAGTCAGGTAAAGTATTCCAGACATTGACCACTCTGTTGCTGAAGTCGTATTTCCTGCAATCAAGTTTGGTGCGATTAACCTTGAGTTTGTATCTATTGTGTGCTCCTGTGTTGTTATGGCTGAAGCTGATGTATTCATTGACAGGTAGGACATTGCAATGTATGATTTTATATACCATACTTAGATCAGATCAAAGACGGTGTAATTCAAGGTTTTCTAGGTCTAGAATTTCAAGTCTGGTTGCATAAGGTATTCTACAATGAGTAGAGGAGTGGAGAACTCTTCTTGTGAAATATTTCTGGACTTTCTCAACTGTGCTACTATCAGGTACGTAATCTGGGTTCCAGACTGATGAGCTGTATTCGAGTATTGGTCTGGCAAATGTTTTGTATGCTCTAGTTAGTAGTGTGATATTACCAGAGAAAAAGCTACGTAGGATTAGGTTAACAACTCTTAATGCCTTTTTTGCTATATAGTTACAGTGGCACTAGTAACATTAGAGCTTAGCACTTAGATCATTAGAGATGAGTATTCCAAGGTCCTTTACAGAGCTTGGATCATCAACAAGGTCTTGACTATTCAGCTTGTATTTTATTTACTGATTTTTTTTGCCAATATGTAAGACAGAGCATTTATTTGTTGAAATCTGAAGTTGCCATTTGTTTGACCATTCTGATACATACAAGATCTTTTTGAAGGGTAGCAGTATTGTCTGTGGTATTAAACAGCTTTACATCATCAGTGAAGAGAACGCAGTTGCTCTTGATATGATCACAGAGGTCATTTATGTAGAGTATGAAAAGAGTTGGTCCTAGAACACTGCCTTGGGGGACACCACTATTGACAGGTACAGAATTTGATAGGACGCTCCCAATTTTGACCATTTGTTGTCTGTTTGACAGGAATGCTTCTATCCAGTTATGAAGTTGTCCAGAGATACCATAAGATTTTAGTTTTAGGAGTAGTTTGTCGTGTACTACTGAATCAAAGGCTTTACAGAAGTCTATGTAGATTGCATCTATTGTTTTGCCCTGATCAAGTTGTGTAGTCCATATGTATTTGCAGTGTAAGAGTTGCAGATTACAGGATAGGTTTTTTCTGAAACCAAATTGTTTATTAGAGATTAGGTTGTTTGTCTCTAAGTGGAGGATAATGGATTAGTTAATAATTGATTCCAGGTGATGCAGTATAAGGAGATTGGTCTGTAATTTTCAACTAGGCTGGGGTCTCCCTTTTTGAAGATGGGGATGACCGTGGCTTGTGACCATAGGTTAGGCAAGGAGCTGGTCCTGAAATATTTTTCAAAGATTATGCTTAGAGGTTCTGCAATGGCAGTGGATAGCTTTTTTAAGAAGTAGGCACATAATCCGTCCGGTCCAATAGATAGAAATGGTTTTAGATTGCATAGTGCTTTTTCAACATTGTCTTCTGTAAAATCGATATGTATTAGATCATTGTTGTCTGTGGTTTGGCTAGGAAATACTGGGCATGATCCATTGCTGTTTACAAATACTGAGCCAAAGAATGTGTTAAAGAAGTTGGCTTTAATGGTGACATCATTGCAGTCTTTACCATTAGGTCCTATCAGGGGTGGGATGGACCTTGAGTCTTTTAGTTTGTTGTTTACAAAATTGTAAAAAGTGCGGGTGGAATTGGTGCGTAGGTTTTCCTCTTTTTTAATGTGATAATTGGTGCATTCAGTCTTTATCTGGTAGCATAAATTTTTGTATCGGCTTTTGAAGTTGGCAACATGACCAGATTTGTTTTTCCTCCAGAGTGATCTCTTTTTGGATTGAAGTTTCTTTATTGTTATGAGTAATCTTTTTTTTTTTGGGGGGGGGGGGGGTTGTTATTGGTACATACAGTTTGATGACTCTTTCGACTTCAAGTAAAAATATGTTGTAATGGTCTTCAACAGAATTGCATCCAGTGAATAGAGATTGCCAATCAAGGGATGAGAGATCGTGATCTATAAGACCATAGTTGCCTTTTTTGAGGTTATAATTGGGGATTATATCATTGTGATGATTTTTGTGTGGGCTTATGTGATAAAAAAATCAATAAAATAAAAATAATAATATAAAAGACTTGGTTTAATAAATCTTATGTCATGAAGTCTTTTAAGATGGCACACGACACTGTTTCGACTAAGGAAAAGGAAAGTTAGGCAGCCCAGCAATGATCACTGTTTTAGGGTGCTAATATTAAGTTCAGTTTAGCAGCAGATTCTGCTCAATGTCTCTCAAATTAAAATCAATTTCTAACAAATGTATTAATTTATTTTAAAATATTCAACTTTAATATCATCCATGGTGGCCAGAATAGTACTAATGGGTTGACGTATAGTAATTTTTTTCCTAATTTGGACATTTAATTTGTTCATGAAATTTGTTTAAAGTTGGACTAGAAGAAAATATCAACACTACTGTAACAAGACACAGACCTATTACCTAAGAATATGGATTATGGAGTTTGAAAGAATATGATTCTACTAAGATGTTTATTAATATAAATATTAATTATATGTGTGCTATGGTGAAAAAGACAACCTTCTACTGCCAAACCTTTAAATATATATTTATAAGCGCAACAATGCTAATGATTAAACACTATATTTAAACAATGAAATTTATTGCATTTGTTTGCTTTTGAGAATAGCTTCTCCTTAGAGACAGTCAATACTAATGTAATCATAACTAAATGCCCTGTAAATTTCCATCAGTTTAACTAAAGAAATTGAATTTATCAGTATAAGCTAATGTTTGTGGTCTGCTGATGTTTCCAAACAAATATAAAGTTAAAATAAGAAAACCACACACTCTAGACTTCCAAGCCTTTTCAATATAAAATAAATAAAATAGTTTTTGATAGACTAGTATAATGCAAATAAAATCATGCTACTGAAATAGGAAAAAAAAACCTAAAATGTTGAAATATCATTTTAATATATATTTATATTTAGGGAGAAACATGCCATCATATGAGAAGAAATCTCTTATCTGTTTTTAAGTCTTCCTTTTCTAATCACCTTCAAGATATCTTAGTATTTCCAGGGCAATGCAACTGAAATTCTTCTGTGTGCAAATAATGGAGAAATAGCAACTGAGAG